CCGCTCCTTCATGTTCCAGATCTGCTCTAGGAGCCTGTGGAAGCCCTTTGGGTCTCCCAGGTACCCTCGCTCGTACTCCTCAAAGCCTAAAACAATGAAATGTTAGTTACTGATTTATTGAGCTGAGGAAGTCTCTAACCCCCTTCAACACTGTGTCCTTACACATATGATTTAATTCCTATATTTCTTTAAAGGTGAGCCCGAAGGGTGGCTTAGAAACCCTAGAAAATAATCATGCCAGCTTAAGTCCTTTTCACTACTTGCATCTCACTTACTCCATTGAGACAGGGCTCCTGGTACCTCTTGGTATGCAGGCAATGTTCTGACTCTTCACAAAGAGATTTTCACCCGATCTTTGTTATCCCCTTAAGCACAATAGTTAAATAAGGTCAGGCTAATGGGAAATTCCACATGCTGGCCCCTTTTAAAGGACACTTGTTGTGAGAGCGCAGCTATTACCAACGTTTTCCCTGGGAATGGGTGCTATTGAACCTGCAGCAAGAATGGACTGATCTTCTGACACCATCACAGAGCAAACCCTTCCAGGAAGCTTCTCTAGCAGACTGTTTGCATCAGAAGAGAACTGCGCAAAAGTAAGGCAAGAGTAAGCCATGAAGCTAGGATAGCTGAGCTGCCTCTCTCATGAAGGACAGAGAATAGATCAGCCATGAAATTTAATTTGGCTGCATGGTGTTGGGCAAAGCTGTAGTGTGCAGCAGGATAGAAAGTGTTGCTTGTCCATTTGGGAACTAGGATATGGAAGTCTGAGGAGGATGCTGTATTCACAAGGGAGAAGGGAGGCCTGTTGGTTACCAGCTCGGTTGTCTGGCTCAGTAAACCTCTGGGTATTATAAGAAAACATAAGAAATATTGTAAGAAAGTTGAACAGATAGATGTGTACCGTGGATAGAGATCCCCTGCTAAATCCCACTATCATCTTCCCTTGCTTCTGGATCAGAACACTGGACGTCAGTGTTTCTTCCTGTAGCCCTGATAGCTGACATTTGGGTCTCAGCTCGCCAGTCTTGCTGTTCCACAGGCTCCGTGTTCCTCCCTCAGACACAGTCATAACCACCAGCCTTGGGCCACCCACCACAGAACACATCCGTACATCTGACGCCTCGCCAGAAATCCGGAAGATGAGTTCTGCTGTCTGCAGGTGCCAAGCGTTGACCTCCTAAAGCGGTGGCAAGAGAGACAGGAGTAGGGAGGACTGAGGTGGCTTTTCTGTCTGCAGTCTTCGTGATTGTGGCAGTAACTTCTAAAGTTCTTATTCTTTCAGCACGCTTTAAGTTAAAGACTGGCTGTACCTTTGTATCTGAGGAAGAATATACAGTCGTGTGCCCCTCATCCATGTGAAGGTCCTGTGAGGGCTGTTCTTCGATATGTGTGTCCTGGATAACAAACCTTGCTCTGCCAGAAATCAAATTCCAGATGCGCTGGCTGTGATCCATGGCAGCTGAAACAGCACAGGTTCCTTTTCCGCACACTTTCACACACCTTACCTCAGCTATAAAGTAAGACAAGGATTCACAAAATGAAGGATTCTTGGTGCTCTCAGCAATTGGGAGAATGCTGGCAGCTAGGAGGTGTCTGTGTGCCTACAGCTCAAGGACTGCCGAGCTGTCAGAGCTCTTTTCAGACATGAAAAGAGCTTTCCAACCGTAAAAACTGGAGAGGGCTTACCAGAGTGCCCAGGAAGGGCATGCAGCATCTCAAAACCTTCTGTATTCCAGACAAGCATTGAGCCATCCTGGGAACCTGCCACCAGCAGCCAGTAATCAGAACTGAGTGCCATCACTGTGACACCTGCCGTGGTGCACAAAGAGGAGAAGCTGTTCTTGATACCACAGACAGAAAGGAGGTGGTTTGAGATGGTTAATATGCCGTGTTTCCCCAGCTGGAACCCCCCTGTACTGTCTGAACCCCATAGCCTGTGCCAAGAGCAAGATTAGGTTCCCTCCGACATATCTAGGTCAGTGTGTGCTTTTGTTGTCCTGACAACAAAATGACCTACTTTATCCTCATTTGTTGAAGCGATTGCGAATGGGACTGGTGCCTGACGGAGCACGAAGGCAAGTGGACCTTTGTCCTGCCTTTGTGTAAGCTCACAGGCAAAACTGTATCGATACCAACATAGGTGTTCTGTCCTTCTTGCTCAGTTTGTTTATTATGTTTCTTGGATCTCATTCATAACAGATGGATGATCAGATATATTCTAGGGCTGTGTCTGTCCCCAGGACTAATCCTACCGTTGAGGAATCGGGTGAGTGTTGTGTGTAGGGGCCCACCAGGTGGCTGGAGAAATCCACAGAGAGGAACGAGAACCGGATAGGGAGAGACACTGCACCCGCTTCAACCCTGCTGGCACAGCTTCTCTGTTACCTCCGGGTAAGAAGGCAGGAAGAAAAGAAGCCTGGCCCACACTTCTGCCTGTGTTATGCTCACTCCTAGGAGCGCAGAGACAAAAAAGCGTTTTAGAACATGCCCCTGGTGGGCCCGTGAGAGCTGCCATAGTTGTATTTTATGTAGTGAACTGAGCTGGCCTTACCTGGCCAGGCACTTGAATAATATAAGGAAGGCTGCAGTGTAAAACATGGGCAAATATAAAAGTGTGGCAGGATTTTTCCCCTGAGGGAGGAGTGGGTATTCTGAGGAGCAGGCAGAGGAGCAGCACTGTGCACCCTCTCCCCTAGGTAGCTGTAAAGCTGCAAGGGAACCCAGGTAGGTAACAGGTACTTCTGCTAGACAGGGGGCAACAGGCTGTGGTCAACTGCTCTAATCAAATAGACAAAATGTCTGTTGGCAAAGAAGAAACCTCAGCTTCTGTAGAGGCCCTAACAGAATGAGGCATTTATGAGTCTTTTGATGGATCCCAGAACAGAGAATTTTGTCACTGGTTGTAATTCCTCAGAAAAGTACTTTTACTTGGAAAGGAAAAAATTCCAGTTCTTTCCTCTGGTGAAACGTTTGCCTCACGCTCTGTCACTGATCGAGCTGTTACCATCAGGGCTGTGTATACTGCTGACTGCAGGCTGCGGAAGGAGAAGTGTCTCCTGCACAAGGCGTAATTCTGGACAGCTGATGCATTCAGTGCACATGGCAAAGTCATCACGAACTCTCTCTATTCCAGAGGCAATTATTTTACAGCTGATCCAGTTCGTATTCCCTGCAGAAAGAAATACTATTAGAGCAGAGAACTTCAGCACAGTTGCTCTGAAAAGACCGAAATAAAAGCATGCTATTTTGGGGAAGGAGGGGATAGAGCCCCTCAGCTCTGTCAGCCACTAGCAGTAGAACGAGGGCTCATTTGTCAAGAAGTGGAGGGCTCCCAATGCCACAGTTCTGTCTTTAGGCTCTTAAATGCTCTATCTATTTTTTTCAAGTAGTTTTTTTATATGTTTCATTTTCATCTTTGAGAGGATCTAGATCATTTCTTTTAGCTACTGAAGAAGTGTGGTGATAATTCTAGAATACCTTCATGAAAGTTAGCTTATTTCTCTTTTTCAAGCTTCCTTCTCACAGGCATTGTTGATACTGTGCAGAAGGGTTGTGGCTCTTACCTCTGGCTGTAGGCATGAAGCAGGCCTCTGCAGAGCCCTGGATGCCACCTCTTGCCCAGTCCTTGCCCAGCACATCCCGCTTTAGCTCCAGTTCATCCGGCATTAAGTGAAACGGCAATTCACTCCCCTTCCTCAGAGTTGCAGCGGTGTCAGAGAACCAGAGTGGCTGAGGGGCTACCTGGGAGTAACCAGAACAGTGGATTGGAGATGTGGCTTGTGGTTTAACCTGTTTGCCTTCACAACTTCAGTGCTAGGTGCTGTCTCATGGTATGCCAGACAGCACCTCCAGGACTTCCATTGTTTTCCTGTTGGTAGGGAGTGTTTTTCATTACTCTAAATTTCTCGTGCTACAATCTAAGGCAGGCTGCCCTTCTGCAGATGTGAATGATAAATCACTTCCTTCCTTCTTGCAGTAGCTTTTTACATACATGAAGACTGCATGACAAAGTGTGTAAATGACTGTAGATCTCCTTGGTGGGAGATACTTGTTTAAAACGTATTTACATACATATATATATATCTTTGTTATTATTGAAAGCACTGGATAGTGTCATTTACTATCATTTCCATTGTCTTCTGGTTTCAGACCCTGTCCAGCAATCTGGAGAGACAGAGCACTGGTCCAGAGCTTATGAGTATGGAATTGCCTGCTGATACTCCTCACCTTCCTGGTGAGGCAGTCAAAGTCGGTATTGAAGGTCCTCTAAAACCTGGTGATGAACGACAACAGTGAACTGCTCACAAAGTTGTTTCAGGTATTTATTGTTCTCCTTGCCCTGAGGGTTCCCAGAATCTTTACTGTATGCCAGTGTGTGTACTTTGAGGTGTTTGGGATAATGGCTTGCAATTCTTGCTTTAAGGTGGCTGAGCAGCTGTGCTCCTTCTGTAGGGATTGTCCTCTTTTTCTAACAGCTCGCTGTTTGTCCCTTGCCCAATTTGTCTGTTGGAACCCTCAGCCACTCTGAGGAATATGAAAGCTCCCGGATTGCTCTCCTGGGTTTTGAGGAGACCCTGTTCAATCTCCCATTCAATCACTTAAAAAAAAAGAGGCGCCGTGAGCATTCAGTTTCAGAACAGAACACAGGAAAAGCCAGGCAGCAACATTACCGTGGCATCCCTTGGTCCTGCTGGATTCCACATGATGCTAGCAAGTTGGCATTCCT